TGTACCGTTAGCCATCACATGGATGTTACTTTATTTTCCATCAAATATGCAGTCCGGCGTTATCGATCTACTATGTTCAGTGGTGATACCATTGATTTATAGTAAGTTACTGACTTAATATTTGTTATTTCTATGTAGAATGGTATTTTGGTTTTCGTAAATTAAAGTCATAGGATGTTTTTTGCTATGTTCCTTCTAAACATTGCTCAGATGTTTTCATTCCGTTTATTATATACCTTGTATGTTATTTTTGTAAGTAATGTTAAAAATCGGACCTTATTGTTAATTATTTCAGCTTGAACCGAACGCGGTAATCTACTTTCGACCTGCATAATGATTGAATTTTATCTCTCTTATACATAAAATGTGACTACAAAGCAGGAAAAAGTTTAAATATACCCTCGGTCTTTGAACGGATACTGATAATGTGGAGAGACAAGAGGATCGAACAGTAAAGAATGGAAACAGAATGCCATTTGTATGAAATGCAAGAACAGTGAATTCTGAGCCATTTTGAGACAATTGATGGACATTTTGCAAATTAAGCATTTACCATATGATTGTTAGATTTTATTAACAGGTCCTGTAATTTTGTCTCAGGTACACTCGACTGCCCCCACCGGTATTCTTGTTTACTACACGGTAATCATTGTTATTATGCTAGAAATTCAACAAATCCGAACAAAATGCTGATTTATAATACTTTAGTAATTGATACTATTTTTAGGTTGGCCTCTCACAGCACTAGGTATCTGAAAGCGTTTTTAGCTATCTACAACCGAAGCCATTGTAATATGTTCAAATTTCTGGATTAACTTATTATGTTTCTAACTAATTCATGCTGTCATTCTTTTTGTAAGGACATAATTTTAGCTTAGTTTTTCTATGTTTATTAAAATTCAGATGAAATGAAACGGAACTACTTTGCTCTTCAATGACATTTATGAACAACAAAAATATTCATCCAAAAGAATCCTGCCGATAAATACTTTTGCTACTAGACTGACTTTGAATCCACTTATCTTTCGTTTATGTTTGTTGATACATATTGAACTAAGTAAAAAATTTCAACCACATTTATTAATCTCATGACAGAATCATTTGTTGAAATGTTGAATTCAAGAACGTTATGCGAAACAGTATCATAATATTTGATGCCTAAAATGTAGTATCCGTCAGTGTCAGTCATGCATTCACAAGTGTAATGAACCTTCGATTTCCATCGTGTTTTATCACTTTTAGGCTAGATGTAGTATTATTACTATATATGATATCATGTACTGAAGGTACTGTTATTATATATTGTTATCAGTCAGGAGCCACTAGTTTTCCAATGATCATGGGGAAATTAAACAACCAATTTCAACTTAACTAACATTTAAGCATCTTTTGCAATCAAAGAAATATTATTTTATACTTCTAAACCAGGTAATTTACAGAACAGCCATTCTTTCCAACTTATTTATGCACAATAAACAATCAATAATAAACGAAAGTATTTTCAAAATTTAGTAAACATCATTGTTATATTTTTAATGATTAAATTATTTTTTGCAACTCTTTGATTTGACTCCAATTAGATTGAACGATGATGTTATCGAAATATACATCCCAGCTACCCTCGTATATAACAATGGATTTAAATTGAATTAGTGAATAACGGGATAAAATAAGTCAAATACGAGAATGAATTTTGAAAACGTATATTTCGTACACTTGTTGACCCGGACAGGATGAGAAGCGGGAAAGCAAAGCGGAGAAAGCGAGGGAGCCAACTCGATTTGATTAAGCGTGACTTGATATTTATAGTCAGAAAAAAACAAATTACAGACACGTAGTGAATAAGGTAAGCACCTAACACACATACGCTCGTATAAAAACAGTAAATGCTAATAAGTGAGCGATTAAAAAGGTCACAGTATGACTTGGAAAAAATGAATAAATCTCTAGAATAACCTGTGTGGGCTTGACATAGGACTAGACACCACTTATTTATCTAAATGCAATCTTTTATTTTATCCATAAAGTTGATTAATTTCTCTAACGTAAAAATGACATCAGTAATTAGGTTATGTTGATAAGATCAAAGATTAAAACACTTTTAGTCATGTCAACGCTAAGACGTTTTTGACTTTTGTATACAGAGTTCGTACGTCCTAAACTTGAGTACTGCATACAAGCGGTTAGCCCCTGCTTGACAAAAAACAGTGGACTTTCGGAAAAGGTTCAGAGAACAGCAACTGAGCTGATTCATGGATGGCGAAGCTCCCGTATGATGCTCGACTGGCAAAGTCAAACCTATTCGCGTTGTCATAACGAAGAACTAGGGGCGACTTGATTACAGTTTTCAAGTTACTTAGTAATAAATTTGCACCTGACATGCCCTCATCTTTCAAGTCTTTGCAAAACAGAGAATTTATGAGGACACTCCAAAAACGTTCGCAAGCCCAGGACAGATTACTTGTCAGCTGACTATCGGCTTTCTCATCGAATCACCAACGAGTGTAATTCATTACCTCAGCACGTATTTGAGGCTCCATCCGTCTACTCTTTCAAAAGAAATTTGGATCAACTGAGGGACCACCATTACCAGGACTAACACAGGCCATCAGGCCTCCTGTCCTTTCCAAACTGAAATTGTTTTCGCGTACGTGTTTCATATTGTCGCGGATTTTTTGTGTCGTTACTTGTCAGCTTTTATACAGAAAGTAAAATAAGGTTACAACAAGTTCTCCACTGGTTTCTGTACTGAGCCATATCTTGTAACGTCTCTAGCCACTGTGCTGCACCACCTCTCGGACCCCAGCCATGAAGTCATGAAGGTCCAACAGAAGCCAGCCCTTCACATCTTTCTTTCATGCCACGACACCATGTCATACACTGACCACCTCTCTACCTTTTTCAACCAGATCGGGCTGCGATAGATAACACCGAGCATAAATGTACTAAATCTGATAGCCAATTTACAGCTAATGACTTCACAAGTACCGCTATCATGGGATTCATTAGCAGAGAAGCGGATGTTTATATTATTGGCTATATATAACAGGACGCCACCTCCTTTTCTACATCCATGTCTATCACTCCTTAAATAATGTTATCTGAATAATTCTGGAGTAATGTATAAGTCTTGGACTAACCAAGTTTCTGTCACTGCTACAATGAGTGGCCTTAATCTGCCCACTAATGCTTTTAGTTCATAGAACCTATTTCTTAGACTACGAGCATTGACATAAAAATCTCCCAAGTAGAACGGCCTATCCACACAGTCCTTGGTAGCATTCGCTTCCAAGACCTGAGTATCCGAAAATACACTAGCCGGAGATTTTCTTCATCGTTTTGCCGACGGGTTTCTGGCTCAGCTAATACTTCCTTCCTTTTTATTCTCTCTTCCAGAGACATATAAGGTCTAACCCGTATATCGTAGTTGTAGTGACAACGAGCGCTACTTAACAGGAGATCTTGTTGCTTCTCCGATCCCAGGATTACGTTAAGGAGTCCACATGGTCGGGGTTCAACATTTTCCTCAGTCCTCTTGTCTATTCTAACCAGTTTTTTACTTGGTAAGATACTACGAATATATTCTTCCAGCTACTCTAAATCATGCGCGTGTCTGACTTTGGGATCAGGGTTGTTTGACTCCAGCAGTTTGCTCACAATAATATTCGGTGAGATTAGATTCTTCTTCTCAGTCACGCCAGGGTGGGCTTCTCTCTTACTATCAGATTTTGGCAGTGCTTCAGCTTTTGGTAGTGCATTTAGTGACTCACAGTGGGGTCCACCAGTGACTTGCTAACCACCTGCGTACTGCTTACAGCTTCTTTCTTTTCTTTTCGTTTTCTGCATACTGTAGTCCATTTTTCACCCCTCAGGACTATTTGGAGCAGCAACAGTTTTATCCAGATCTTCAGTTTCCACTAGAAGTGCATGTTCACCAATACCAGTGACAGGTGGTACTACCCTCGTCGTTAATTTTAACGGAGATTTCACTTTTCCGTCAGTCAAAGTCGGTTGTTTGAGGCCTCTCGTAACAGCACGTACTACACTGACACATTCGTCACTGTCAGTGCTCGTGTTATCAGCGCATGCGCGATCGTTCTTCTTACAGGCCAAAGCCAATAGGCTCATAGCATCTTGTATTAGTAACGTCTTATTTGCACAGCAAAACATACAAAGCCAATGTGAGTTAAGCTTCGAACATCTTTTGTATGCAGTGGGACTTAAACGGATGCACACCTTATGGAACCTCTTTTTGCATTCATCACTCTGCATTACTTCCTCCACAGGAAACAAACAGTTTGGTTGTTCACATTTGTGAGTACTACCAATCATTTTAGTTAGAGTAAGATGTAATATACAATATGATCACAGTATGAACACAAGTGTCAGTCAATGAGTAAAAGGCTACCACAAGACAAACTTCAGCAAGATTTCAAACCTTAACTAAGGTACTTTGATATAGACCAAGAATGATTTTGATGCAGCAATTACACAAAATCAAGGATAATCACAACAAGTACAACATCACTGCCCTTTTTGAAACACGCGCGTTTCGTACGCCAGATTGCTGAATTTTTAAAAAAAAATTTGTAAATACGAATCATTTTCCATCATTGAAGCAAGTAGACGTAGAAAGACAATGCTTTTAGACGGTTTGTTCCACAGGTTTTAAGTATTGAAGCGCTCACTGGAAACACAACATAGCAAGACGGAATGTAGACAAAACTTCTACTCCTTAAGAGTTGTCAAAAGCTGAAATTCGCTGCCGGCCGAGCTTGTCCAAGAGACTTCTCAGGAGTCCTTCAAGAGGCAACTTGACCTATTCTTAAGGGCCAAGGACAGCATCACACTATGATTTACCAATTTCTTTTCCTCTTTTATTGTTAACATACCTAGGTTCCTGCCTGGAGGATTTGGTGATCCCCTGCTACTAGACACGGAAGCCTGTTAAGCGAAAGCTTCTTCTATTCCGTCCACAACCATTTGAACCATTTGAACCATTTGAATGTGCTACCTCATGACCTTGGTACTCAAATGGTTGTAAAAGTTGAGTTACCGAATTTGGTATAAATATAGGTTCATAACGTTCATCTACACAAAACTTTTGTGTGTGATGTAGTTAGTGTATGAAAAATAGCATCATGATCAATATATTGATGTGCCTATGTGACTCCATATCTCACTGAATTCAGCGGTTAATCAGAGAAATTCCTCTGATTAACCACAATTAAGTGTGGATCAAATCATTGTTTAAAACTGGGGGCGAGCTGCATTGTCCTCTATTTCGTTCATTTCATCATTTTCATTCTTTCAGTGTATGTGGCTGCGGTTTCATCGTGATAGTCTGTGTAGTAGGTCTTAACAAATGTAAATCTGTATCACGTGCTAAATTAATTTATACTGCCCAGTCTCTCTATTTTGGTTAAAGTTTTGTTCGATTTAAGTAACTTTTGAAGTCGCAATAGAAAATTTTGGGAAAATGGTACAAAAACACCAACATTTCCCCAGGTTTGGGGAAAATCCCTAAAGTTTTGGGGAAACTGGGTTTTTCACAACATTTCCCTAGAACTTTATAACACTTCGGGATTTTCCCTCAAAGCTTCCCCATAATAGTGAGATTGGGTAGTTGCAGCCTAACTGTTATGAGTAATCAGTTATCTTGGCGATGAGAACGTCTTTTTATGTCAAGTGTAAATACATCACAGAGTTTACTCGTTAGATTTTCTCTCTTATATGATATTCTCAGCCTTAGAACAACTTCTAGACGTGTTTTTAACACCATTAACCTTTAAGTAGTTTGTGGTGTGACTTCAATAATACATTACATTCAACTTAGGGAGTTTAGATCTACAGTTATCTCATTAACTTCCTCCCTGGAAACGTACACTTGATTTTAACATTCCAAACCTTTTAGTTATGTAATGCTACCAGTTCTTCGGAAACATCTTCAGGTGGTTACTGGCGTCTCCTATGTAACCAAAATTTTACCTTAGTGTATAGTGCTGTCCAACACACCTGCTCCTAGATAGGTTTTAGAATATCAGAAAATACTTAGTGGCAGGAGTTATTAAAACTAAGCAACCTTATTTTGGGATTACTTTGGTTGTCAATGTGTGAAGATATGTCAACTTCTGGAATTTGTGGTCAATTTAATCATTTATTTGCATATTCTTAAACTAATTGAAGCAAAATAACCCTTAGTATCATCTAAAGCGCTCACAAAATCCTTTTTTTAATGTTTCGCCTGCGCTCAAACCCTTCACTTTTTATATACCAAAACTGTATCATTTGCACATTCAGTCCTCAAAGAAACATCTAGGTTAGAGCCCTAACTCTGAGAAGTCGAATGTAATTCGAATAATGTACAATATATTTGGCTAAAACACTAACTTTTTAGACCACTGAGCCGGCATCCAACGGTGTTAATGTCTAACTTCAACCAATCCACGAAGTTGCGCCACCGTACACCATTGTCTTTAGTGAGTTGTTATCTCACAACAGACCGGTTGAACTCCACTGGTAACGGCTTCTCACTAGAACTCCAGGAGTTTTTCTTGAAGTCAGTCACTAATGAGCAGTTGATTATTATCAGAATGGGTTGTGTGGAGAATTTTACTTTGTAGTCAACTCTGATTTCAATAACTCATATACTGTTACATAACCTTGTAAACTCGGTTAGTAATTCTAGTAATGCATGTGTTTGATACTCCGACTACTTTCGTTTAATTTTGTCAAAATGTGACTGCATGATAAAATTCGTGAGAACTCTGGTGCATATTGACCAGGTTCTACTTTGCTTATGATTAAGCAATCTTAGATCTCTAGCAATTATACTCAGACTTAGAATACCACCAAATAATTGTATTTGCCAACTAGTTTTCTGCTCACAGAATTTTTTATCTAACTACTTTTCTTTTGTTTCAACATGTACGTTAAACTTACTGACCTTTTTTAATACTAGAATTCATAGTACTCTGGATTCATTATATGGTCTAGTTCGGAAATTGTACCAATTAACTAACTAATTTTGGAAAAATGGTATCCGATAATCTCTCCAACAATCTAATAACAGAAGAAGAAGCTGAATTGTATGACAGACAAATAAGACTATGGGGCATAGAATCACAAAATCGACTCAAACAGTCTAAAGTTTTATTACTTGGTATGAATGCATTGGCTGCAGAAATAGCTAAAAATATTGTTCTGGCGGGTATCTCCAGCCTCACAATTATAGATGGTCAACAAGTCACTAATGACGATTTGGAAAACAACTTCCTTATACCACGTGATTCTGTTGGACTAAACGTAAGTACGATAACTTATACATTTTTTAGCGTGCCGACGCGGTTATTGGTCGTACTCAAAGCCTGAATCCAATGGTTAAAGTACAATCTTCTGAGCTGGGAGATGATCTAAAAGATAAATTTCAAGAATATAATTTGATCATCCTTATAACCGAATGTTCAAGTGTTCATTTTAAACAATGGTCAACTATATGTGGCATTGTGAGTAGTATGGACATAGATACAAGACCATATATAATATGTGCATCAGTAACTGGATTGTTTGGACTCGCGTTCATAGATCTCGGCGCACATGAATGTTTGTCGTAAGTACTACATATTTCGAGTCAGTATTTATATGCTGTAATGAGTCATTTATTTAAACGCGTAAACAATGGCACGAGAAAGTACCAAATACATATGCGCCACACTTTGTCATTCGATTTGTTTAAGGGCTGGAATACTACCCGATCGCCCAAACCGAAGCATATGGTTTCCTTAAGGGCCACTCTCTGAGTCTTTCATTCAGATGTCTAATCCACAAGGCAGTGGAGCAACATTAGGAGATGCATTCCCATGGTAGACGGAGACCAACAATAGGTTCATATACCATTTATTCCTCCAGGACTCTGGAACCCAAGCGCATCATTAATTTGGAGTCAGTGTTTTCCAACTCCCCTAGGAAGGTTCTCCATATCCACCAACCCGATCAAATCACCAGAAGTTCGCTTTCTGTCCTTTGAATTCCGTAACCCTTCCTTTCGCGAGAAGGCAGTGAGTAGGACTTCCTTGACAGTGGCTGTATACGCGTGGCCATGTGAGAGCATTTCGAGAGGATGAGCTGACTTTCTACTATCGGCCGTACCATGGCATGGGGCACTAAGTCATTTGTCAGGCGTAACTGGAATTACATAGAAGAAAGTTCTGTTTGCACAAGCTAAATCTTCCAAGAAGTCGGAAGGCTAGGTTGTCATTCAAGTAAAGTAAAAGAAAAATACATCGGGGATTGGATCCTAAACTTTGAACTGCTAAACCAGTGCTGGTATCACGCCAGTTTATATTTGTGTCATAGTAATTACATCTTCGGTACGTTTTCGTGAAGTAGGTTTATGTAGACCACTGAGATTGCTAATTACAGCTCGAAAAGTACAACTAACAGGTCCTAACTATCTAATTGAAAGTTATGTTTGCCATTTTTACTCTGAAAAACCGTCGATAACAAAGGAATACTATTAATTTTTAAGTTGTTACTATTCGCACTCTCCGTCCATGGAAGTAATTTATACGAACTAATATCTATTATAAACAACTCTAGGGATTGGAAACTTTTTGATATTGCCGTCATGCAAAACTCCTACATTATTTCACGAAAACGTGGTATTCATTGTTATATAATGCACATTTCTTAGCTAAGTTAGGAATTACTATATAAAAAAGGTAACTTTTTTATTCTGCTAATGTACGTGTATCCTCTCACTAGATTTTTTTCTAATCTTCGATTATTTTGAAGTCACACCAGTGCCTAGCCAATGGTCGTTTATTTTGCCGGAACCCTGATAACTATCGTATTAACTGCCTTCAATTTACAAAAACCTTTCAAGTCTCAAACGTCTAACAGATGTTTCACAGTAACTATTTTGCGTTATATCAAACAATTGATAGCTATCTATAGAGAGTTTGAATTCATTTACAGTGGTCACTATTACTCAAATTCACTCTATTCAGTAATCCTCTCTATATATGATTAATGAAATACCTTGCTTCTAACGGTGCCATTTCGAGCTCCATTAATTCCCAATCAACGTCATTAGTGAATGATAATTGAAATCTATTAATTATTTTTTATTCCTATGGAGCTTATATAAATTTAGAAATTACATCAATCACTTATTAACGTAGGTTGAGACGAACATTTGTTAATAAACTGGTTAACGAAAACTCCTCTCTCTCTGGTTATGCTCAGACTAGCTGTTAACAATGGATTGTCAGGAAGTACTTGAATTTCACTCATCATGTCAAGGATATTTCACTAATTATCAAAATGCCTGTAGAAGTGTAGTATAGGAACGAGCCTAAAACAACGACAAATTTTCAGCTAGTTCCTAGTCAACTAAAAAACAGCCTTTGTAGATCGATAGTTTATTGAAAATAAAACACTAATATTGCTAAGTGTAAACATATTTTACATACAATTGATTCCCTTTTCGAATTCGAATAAAGCCAAAGCGAAAATTGAGGCAAAATAAGATGAATTCATCATATTTCGTGGTTTCTCGTCAGCTGCTCACAACTATGTGTATATATTGAATTCGAAAAACAGGGGGGTCGGTAAGGCAGTAATTAAATGAAGTTTGGAAACAGATAAGATGGATTGTGATACTTATAGAAGTTTTCAATAGTTTACATATAGTTCAAATCACTTGAAAATAGATATAGAAGATTTGGAGTACTGAGGTGGTAGTTGTCTAGAATTAGAAATTGATGAGATAGGTTACATAATAAGTAGACAGGATTTGAAGAGTTGGTACAAGTTTAGAGAATTAAGTGAATGAAAAAGCCGTCATCAATGTTGTTTGTTTCATATTATACCATAGATCAATGTTACGTTTTAATATACATATGGTTGTAAGCAGCTGATGAGAAACCACGAAAAATGGTGAATTCATCTTATTATGTCTCAATTATTTTGGCTTTACTCAAATTTTACATAATTAATGAATCTATTAAAGTCTTTGATAAGTTCCTCTGCCTGTAAATCAAAAGATAAACGTTCACAAATCCGTTCTTATGGACTATAGTTTATGTGCCTTCCTGAGCCAGAATATAGGGACCCAAATTGATTTTCAAAAAACCCTTATTTTCTGTCCTTGATCAGGGTCAGGACTGGAGGTCGAGGGTTAAGGTTTTCACTACAAAATTATATCAGCTATAATGCGAAAATGCTCTGTAGCCATATGAATGAGTGAGTTCTGCTCAAAAATTCAGGAGGTTCTTTTCATAAAATGTAATACCAGCATATTAAGCTTTGTTTCAAGATCAAGGATTATTATTCGAGGATAGTATCGATTCGCCTGTTGTATACAGTCTATAGAGACAGAATTGAACACGTAATTAGTTTAACAGCATCATTTTTACTCTGTGATGGTAAAAATTAAGATCCCGCTGTCACTTTAAATGTTTTAAGCAGTGTGCGAAGTATCTGTACTGCTTATTATAGGTGACATTTCAGTCACCCGACCGAAGCTGCTACCTTGACGCGGTGGTTGGGCTTGCCTATCGTGATGACCCAACCGAGCTATATTGGCTGGAACATATGTTCCTGTAGGTTCTACCATGCCAGGCAGGTTGATTGGTGGACGGTAAGACTAAAAGCAGCAACTCAAGGTCTGAGGGCGAAGTCGTACTGCTGACTGTAGAGGGGTGTGACAGCAGTAAGGTGTTTCCCTCGGACAACCAGCATGACAGCGATGCTGCCTTCCCACAAGGAGGGGTGGGGTTAGAAAAAATCGACCCTAAAAATGTCACACCTCACCTTACCTCACGGATTTCCGTCTCCGGCGGTAAGGCCCTTTGAAGAACGGAGCTAACACGTCAAAAACCTTCCGCAAAAAGGCCGTGCGCGACCGGCCTCAAGCAGTTGTCCCTTGTGCTCTGCGGTCACGCTCCCAGGTCGTCAAGACCAACACTAATCCGATTTCCTTTTCAGGTTCCTCAAGAAATACCCTTCCACGGTGTGGGCAGCCGCGAAGTGACATCAGCCCTCATACCCGTAACAGCACACGAGACCAAGTTGGTCACATTCAAATCCTTCCTACACCTCCTAATACCTCTCTTATCTCCATGACTAACCCTCCTCACGTCTCTTTATCACCTCACACCGCTAGGGCAAACGATTCGAGTACGTGGAACGCTATTCCTGGTCTCCTGAAACCACGCTCTAAACTACACGTAGGAGCTTTTAACGTCCGAACACTGTGCCAAATAGGACAGCAGGCTTCCTTAGCTAGGACTTTAGAATCTCGCGCCATCGATGTGTGCTGCGTCTCCGAAACGCGTATACAAGATCCGAGTAGCGTCATTCATTTGATCTCACCATGCCAAAATAAAAAAAACGACTCGATTTACGCTTCGGGTATCTGGAAGCCCTGATTCTGCTTCCCGTGGCCTCGCCGGCGTAGGTATAGCATTGAGTCCTAGAGCAGAACTAGCTCTCTTAGAGCGGATCCCAGTAGACAGTCGTTTGTGCGCTGTCCGACTAAACGGAACAGTATGAATCCGAAAAGATAGGGACACTCGTCGTTGCCTCTTCGTCGTCTCTGCCTATTCTCACACTGACTGCAGCTCAGATGATGCAAAAGATGAGTTTTACAGAAAGCTTTCGGACCTTCTCCGAAAAGCTAGGCTCTCTGATGTAGTAATAGTGGCCGGTGACTTTAATGCTCAAGTAGGTAAACCAAGCGATAGGGAAAGACACCTAGGTGGATCTTATGGTGTCGTGGCCCAAAGAACAGATAGTGGCGACCGTCTGTTGCAGCTATTCTCAGATAACCGCCTGTTCATTGCAAATACTAACTTTAAGCATAAGGAAAAACATCTTTTAACATGGAGACCCCCTAATTCGTCCCAACGTTGGACCCAAATAGATCACATCGCTATCAGCCACCGATGGAGGGGCTCGATAGAAGAATGTCGCTCATTCTGGAGCACATGCTTAGACTCAGATCATGCTCTAGTGCGAGCGTGTATTTGCCTGCGTCTTACTGGACGTAGGAAAGACGCTGCAAGGAAACCTCTTAGGGTCCTGCTTAATGATATTCAATCTAAGAGTATATTTCAGGAACAACTAGGGAAACAGTTAGGCAGCCATGTATGTGATGCCCACTTTGAGGCAGCATGGAATGATATCCGAAAAGCTGTGGAAACAGCAGTGATATCTGCTAGTAAGGTAAACCAGAAGGTTAGGGAGCAACACTGGATCTCAGCTGCATCTATCGCACTGATAGATGCTCGGAAACTCATTCCACCTAACTCTGAACATAGTGAAGAGCGGAGTCAGCTTAAGCGCAAGCTGACAAGAAGTCTACGCAATGATCGCGAACAGTGGTGGGTAGGGAAAGCAAGAGAGATGGAAAAGGCAGCGGCAATAGGTAATAGCAGACAATTGTTCAGACTCGTTAAGGCAACCGGAATTAGGAACCCGACCGTTAGCGAAACAGTCTCAGAGAAAGATGGACATATTATTCATTCTCAATCCAGGAGATTGGATCGATGGGCAGAACACTTTAGGGATCAGTTCAACTGGCCTTCAGCCACACTTCGGTTTCCCACGATCTCTAGTCAACCTGAATGGCAAGTTAATGTAAGTCCTCCGTCCCTTTACGAAGTTGAAAAAGCCATAGGAAATCTGAAACGAGGGAGAGCAGCAGGCCCTGACAGGTTTACTCCTGAGATTTTTAAGGATGGTGGTCCAGTATTAGCAATGAGATTAACCGAGGTCTTAGGTAAAATTTGGGAACTGGACGTAATCACATCTGACTGGTCTCAATCACTGATTGTGCCAGTCTATAAGAAAGGACAAAAGTCCTCTTGCCACAATCACAGAGGAATCAGTTTGACTAATATAGTGTCTAAAATATTAGCCTCAATAATACTTCAACGCCTAACCAAAACTCGTGAAGAGCAGACTAGAGAAAATCAGGCTGGTTTTCGACCTGGACGTGGTTGTATAGATCAGATATTCACACTACGTCAGGTTCTAGAACACAGACACACATTCAGACGCCCCACAATCGTAGTATTTCTCGACCTTAAGGCGGCATTCGACTCGGTTGATCGTGAGGTTCTATGGCAGTGTTTGTCACTGAAAGGAGTACCTCAGACGTAAATTAACCTTATAAAGGCTTTCTACTCGAACACAACTGGCCGAGTGAGAGCTTATGGCGAACTGTCATCAGAATTGATTACTTCAAGTGGTGTTCGTCAGGGCTGTCCACTCTCCCCATTCTTGTTCAACTTTGTGGTCGACGTACTTTTAGAGATAACCCTCTCTTCATCTAAATTTCCAGGGGTTGAACTTCTACCGGGAGATTCACTTGTTGACTTAGAATATGCTGATGACATAGTTTTATTTGGTGAAGACGCTGACAAAATGCAGAGTCTTCTGACCACTCTAAGCAACAATGCAAGCATGTTCGGGATGCGATTCTCCCCATTCTCGAAATGCAAAATGTTGCTTCAGGATTGGGTTACATCGACACCCGAACTAGTGATAGGGAATGAAGTAGTTGAGCCTGTCGACCGCTTCACTTATCTTGGAAGTCTCATCAGCCCTTGTGGTCTGGTGTGTGACGAAATCTCAGCACGGATACAGAAGGCTCGACTAGCTTTTGCCAACTCGCGTCATTTATGGCGTAGGCGAGATATCCGTCTATCAACCAAAGGACGTGTTTACTGTGCAGCAGTTCGTTCCGTCCTACTTTATTGCAGTGAAACATGGCCGGTAAGAGTAGAGGATATCCGTAGGTTACTAGTATTCGATCATAGGTGTCTTCGAAACATTGCTCGTATATCATGGGACCATCAAGTAAGTAACACAGTTGTTAGGAAACGGGTACTAGGTAAAGATGGCAAATCAATTGATGAAGTAGTGAAACTTCATCAGTTGAGATGGCTGGGACACGTGTTACGTATGCCCAACGACCGACTGCCTCGACGAGCGATGTTCAATGGTATAGGAGTAGGTTGGAAGAAATGTAGGGGTGGCCAGACCAAATCATGGCACAAATCCATGAAGTCACTGACAAGTGGACTGAGCCATGTTGGTAGGTGTAGACTACCTGGTTGGGGACCACGAGATGATAGCAACCGATGGTTAGAGACCCTGAATGACATGGCTCAAAATCGTTTGCAATGGCGCAGGTGCATCCACTCTTTGTGTTCTCCCAAATTCTAATCTTCTTAATACTTCATGTCCCTTTTTTTCTATTTCCAAATTTATTTCACTGGATTATACTCTTTAAATAACATCTCCAAACCCTAATCTTCCCGATTACTGCTTATACTCTTGCTACCTCTACCACTACGGGATTTGAATCGACAGCTGCATCTCTGTGTTAAGGTGGTGTGGCAACCCGAACTGATGTACGTACGTACGAAGTTCTACGTTGTTACTGACTGGCTGACTGACTGACATTTCAGTCAGCTGCTATGTAGGACCAGGCACACATATGCATCGGTTCAAGTTGCCATACCTCGTTAGCACAACAACATGAACGCCGAATTCATAGAAGTGGTTAATCCATTGGTGGTAATATATAAAAGAAAGATTGCATATAAGGACATAGTACAGGAATAAAGAATTAGTTGTTAAAAATAAAGATATAAAGCAATTTTAATCTCATAGTTTAAGGGAAGACACCTACGCCATTGTGATCGATTCTGAGTCATGTCACCTAGATTCTGAATCCGTGCAGAGATTTCGTCAGACACCAACCCATTCGGTGACATTTGCACTTCGTGAAAATTTAGATGTCGCCTTGATTCTAATTGATTCATCCCTGGAAGTGTACGATAAATATAAGGTTTTGCTGATCGAATCGAACTACATGAAAATCTGTTAATATCCTTGCAAATAACTTTTTAACCTGCCTTTTCTCCCACGCTCCCTATGTGTTATAATCTCTTTCTTACGGTTATGACCCAGCTATTCCTATTGCTTAGTATTCTCGGACACCGATTCACTCGACAAGACCTCAAATCAGAGCACGGTTGAACAGGAAAGAGATTATATTTCAAATAACAAGGTTAGATGGAAGCAAGATGCAAGCCAGAAGCACAATAGGGAAAACATCAGTGTATTTATAGTTTTTACTTGAGAAGATTCTAGAGTATTCTCCAACTATCGACTAGTGTTGATTGGATAAGAATTGGCCAATCAGCGTGCACCAAAGCAATCGTGCATTGAGCTTGCTTTAACCTAGTCTATGTCCCGCTAACACTATGGGAGACTGGTTCTGAAATTACGTAATGAGTTTCTTTTAAAAGTTGCTGAAAAATGACTACACTTTTACTCTTATTATTATCTTCCTATGATAATTTCAATAAGTTTGTAATTATTGTTATCTTGACTATTTTAGTGAAGATGTGGTAGTAAAGAAAAGATCAATGGCAGAATTATCATCTGGTTCAATTCAAAAGATAAATAAAGCTAGCGAACCATCAAATACAGAGACGGTACTTGTAAAAAAGGTAATTTTAAAGTTGATATATATCTGTATAAACCGTTTCGCCTGCAAAATCTGAAATTATGTTTATCAATATTAATAAGTAAACTAGGTTGAGATGTAGTGCAACCAGAACTAGACGTGTGATGATCCAACGAAACAGTTCCGTATTTAATGCCCTGTGAATTAAACTGTGTGATTTTTATTCAAATCCCAACCCCTAGAAATTGTGTATGATTATCACTTTAGCACAAGAAAATGTTGTATGGTTACTGCATATCAATGTTTTCAAAATACACCCTGTATTTTTCTCCATAAAATTAATAAAATTATTCGTAAGTAAGAAAGGCTAATAAGATATGATGGAACTTTAATACTGAAAATTCCTTCTTGCGGTGTACGACCATACGCTCTTAAACATTCAGTCCGTTAGGTCAGTTTCTCCTTAAAAAATTATTGCTTCTAGCATATGATACAAGTTAATGAAATAAGGAAAATCAATAAAAATTGCACGGATATATCAATAATCACTGGGAAAATAAGAAAATATCGATTCAATATTCTCCTCCTTAATTTTATTCTCAAGAATGTATGGATTGATTTTTGAAGTACCGTTGGCTATATAAAACTGGAAAGATTGCTTGGTTTTTCTTCTCGGTGAATTAAACACGCAACTCTTGGATTAGTAGACATGTGTGCTCTAAGTACAGAAAATTATGGGTGGTGAATTTTTACACAATTGTTAATACCCTGTTATTGAAGCAACTTTTTTTCCTAGGTTTATTTACTTCATGCCAGTTGCATAAAACAGAAATTTTGTAATTAATAAGTGGCATTTAAGCCGTCTAAATCTTGTACACATCCCTAGTTAATGATGTACATTGTATACTTTATGCATAGTGTTTTCCTCTTTGTTGCAGACATTCAACTATTGTCACCTGTTAGACAGTTCATGTCTTATTTCTAACATGTTAAAAAATAGATCACATGCTAAATATATTCCCAAAGGATATTTCCTTATGCAAGGTATGTTTTGTTTAAAAAGACTACTTTATAAAAGTCTTCATGTAATTGATATTGCCTATATTAAATCTTTCGCTATTATCAGTTATATCCTAGCTACTGAAATCGCTTAAATTCTCACTTCATTCATTAGTAAATATCGTGCTTCTATTATGATTAGACTTTAAGATTGTTTAAAGTATAACAACACATTAGCTTTAACCCATATTTCTCAACCTAATCCTTTGTTTGTACATTGTCACCAGCTTGTAATTACTTATAGTTAATATTTTAATGTGTCGTAGAGATATCGTCTTTAGTTATCACACTGTCATCAAGTTTTACAGACTTGTATGATTAGACATGACATGACCAGGATTTATCCCAACTATTAAAAAATAATATGTTCAAATATCTCAGCTCCATAACATCTATGGAAATAGAGATTGTCACGTATTTGAACTCGACCTGCTTCTGTTTGTATAACTAGGTATCACTGATAGTTTTTATATACTGCCGTATCTAATAGCATGTAGAAACTACTGTTTTCGTACTGAACAAGATATATTAGACTTTTAGATAAAAGATCTCTTTTATAACTGAAAATTATGCAGTGGAGAAGTTTCAGTTAATTCTTCAGTGAATAATACAGATTTCTTGCTCGAAGTAGACTGAGTTGGATACTGCAATTCGATTCAATATAGTAAGCTCTAAAAACGAAACTGTGGGCATTTTCTTATTCACCCCCCTCCCTCGCCGCCAAAGGATTAGCATCAGATGGTTGTCCAACATTATTTCACACATACGTGTTCATTGTACAATGACAAACTGTTTTCTGACTAACCGATAACATGGCCCATCAAAATTGATAGCGCGATATTTGCATGCAGCAACTCGGTGCAAAATTATTGACAAAGATCAATGTTCTATTTATGCACTAATATTAAAGACATAGTTTCAGTCAATTGTTTATAGCCTTCTCCAAAAAAGTCCTACTCAATATGTTCATGTAGCAAGGCTGTTTCCACAAACATGAAAGAACAAATAAACAACAAACGTTTTTTTCGTTATCTAACCAAAACTTTTATTTTAAGACGGCATGCAAAGTGCCTTTTGTCAAAAATTTTTAACCGCTTCTGGTGTGATAAAGCAAACCCTAAAGTTAATATTTAATTCCCAACCATTTATTACGTTGCTTATATCATACTCGACCATTTTTGCATCATTTAATCTTCAGTTTTAAGCCAATGCTCTATCGAAGAAGCACCATTTACCTTACCATATTTACAATCCCAATGGCAAAAGGTATCAAAGATTCTGGATGTAGATGAAACAATTCTTTCCATTGAAGATTTAGAGTAAGTTATAATCTTACTGTTCTCAGATAAAACGCAGGTATAACGTCTGATATTGCAATGTAATCAATTGTGAGCCATGTCATTTTTTACCCATCACGAAAACTGTACTGAAAAGTTCTAGAAATGCGATCCCATATCACATCACTTCGTAAATCAGTCAAAAAAGCACAAGCGACCATATATATATTTCATGGATTTTTAGCAACCTTGACACCAACACTGTAATAATTTTGATAGTTGAGATCATGAGTCAATTAAAGCTAGACCACGATGGAAAACCTGGAAGTATTGGTCGGCCGTTCCGTCCTACTGTGCGACTCCTCAGCAGTGCACATGCACTATCCCACCTCGTATATTATTGTTATTAACCCCAATACTTCGATACAAATATGGGTTTCTTGGTCAAATATTCAAAATTAAACCTGTGTGCAAATTGTGAAATTTAATTAATGGGGTTCAGGTACCGAGCAAGACTAAATAATACGTCGATTAATGTCGGACACAAAACCCCCAATACGTTGGGAATTCGCAATTCGGTCAACTACTACTTATCACTATAAACTAGTAGGTTAGAGAAAACTTTTTAAGTTACGAAACAAACTCAGTGAACCATTAGAGAATTTTGATGTGATTAGATGTTGGGAATAAAATTCGAATAATGTTTATATTTTTAACGTCACTTTATAAGATCGCCTCAGTATTATATCTCAGATTTTGCATGCTATCTTTTTAATACCCTGCATAGATGTTGCTCTGGTGCTACAATCCCAGCTGTTAATCCAGTACTTGGTGGTGTTGTGTCCCAAGAAATAATCAGGGTAAGTAAAAGCTACTTTGTTATTATCTTCAATAAATCATGATCTCTTCAAGAGGCATCATGTGAATAGACCGAGTATTATCTTGCATTATTGCAGTGGTAGAAGCTACGGCAATGTCCGACTACATATACAGGGTTATTAAGTTACAAAAATACAAATGCAGAATATCTTGCTTACCAGTGTACGAATTTAAGTAAATAGAAGATCCAACTATATCACAGATTAACTATCGGCCTTGTTCCATAGATCCTGTGGTCAACACTTTCTATGCTTTATACCACTAGACAAGATCAACAAACAGTCGGTTCGTGAATAATAATAGTCTAACAAAGAGACTTCCCCATTTAACTAGATTACCGATTAGCATAATATTTCAATGCTGATTGTAAATAAACATCTGAAATTGTTTTACGGGTTTCAAGATCACGTCATCATCCCTGAGTAAAAAATTTCCGTTGCTTAAATGAATGCAACTCTTAATAAACGACTGCGTCTCACAGTGAGGCCCACTACTATGTTGTATAAAGGGATCCTGGTGAACAGATTGATGTTTTTGTTGGCAGTACAAATAGTCAAGTTGACGATTGTCATTGTTCATTTATCTACCTGATGTTCATTAACTTCCCTATCCCCCAACCAGCATTTTTAACTAATTTGCAGTATTTTTCAAATCGACTTTCAGTATTGCTAATTTACTCCTATTTCTTAGGCTATAACACGAAAAGGTGCACCGCATGGAAACTGGTACTTTTTTAATGGATCACAGTGCTCAGTTACTGTCGATTGGTTACCGCCAGATGAAAAGTCATAAACCAGTGAATATCTCTGCTACCATTAGAAAAACAAGCTATTTTTCTATTGGATTTAATAAATGTATAGTTGACTGTACAAGATTTTAGAAAATATACAAAAATATAAAACTGGGCTTTTTTTTAATCACTGTCTTCGTCGATTTCGATTTCTTCTTTGTTTTTCCGGTCAAACCATGTGGGTTCTCTCTCAGGAATACGATTATCATCTTCATCACCTTGTAAATCATCCTCCTCTTCTTCTTCTTCTTCTTCTTCAGATTCTTCACTGGAATCACTATCCTCTTTACCTTCGGCCTCTGCAGCTGCTTTTTTCCTCTCCATTTGTTCTGCCCATCTAGCGGCCATTGTAAGCAATTTTTGATTTGGCTTTTCTGCATCTGTATCGGGGAATGTATACTCAATATATTCTTCCCAACCACTACGTTCATCACCAAGTCGGCGACTGCGAACGACCTTCTGCGGTTGTAGTTTATCAACATCTCGCTGTGTTTTTTCAGTTCCATATTCATACTAAAGGCAGCAAAATTTAGGAAGGAACCAAAATTAAAAGATACGATCTGTTAGACTTTAGAAATCGTATTGTAAATATCAATGATCATGACAGCTACTAACATGAAACCCAATATGGCAATTATTCTAGACAACAGCTAATTTACAAATACTTCACTCCTCCAGCAACCTCGTGTTAAATACTGTATTAAGAGATGAGCGGTGTAATAAATCTAGGACTTTAGACATTTTATGTAGGTATGCACAACAATTTTTAATCAGCGGCGACGATAGTAATAATAAGTGAATTTTTCAGTATACAATATGGTTTTACACATTGGATTTTATAAGAGGAAAATTACCCTTGATAAATGCAGTTGTAAAATTATTCTTATTCCAAATGGTAACCTTACTCAAAATCTGCCAGTCAATCAAATAACATTGTTATTAAGCAAAAAGATACACCTACTTTTTAATTATGGGGACTGTGGATAGGACATTCTAAAAATTGAAGTCTTGAGAATAAGTGCAAAACTCAAACTTTAAGATGAGTTACTATAAATATATCTACGATCTAAAAGCACTTAGAAGTAAACACTTTTGCTACATATGTATACAAATAACAACTGATATGGATATAATAGGCAAATTCCTATTCGGAAAGTCAAGCAAGATATAGTAACTTACTTCAAATTCCTTCCAAGCTTCAAGTAATCGAACACGTTGCTCCTTATCCTCTGTATATTTCAGAGCTTTATTTGCTTCTTGGTAGATTTTACGTGAACGTTCTACTGCTTTGTTGATTTCGTTTTCATTATGTTCTTGTATTAATGTTTCTTTGTCCAGTTCAACATCTTTCAAATGTTCTAAATCTTCATCATCTAAATCAGCGGCTGTGAGTTTGTTCAAGGCACACAATTCGAAGTTTGCAAGACTTAACCATACCTATCGATAAGAACCAATTTAAAATATTTAGTCATCACTGACAAGCAAATTAATATGTACGATAAAATCTGGTACCAAATTGGAGTACTGATAATCCACAATCATTCTTAAGCAGTCTTACCATAATTATCCAATTAGGTTTGTCTGGATAATTGGTAGTCTGATAAAATACCTCACTCTTCTTTTATAGTGTAATTTATCAATAAGACAGTGTAACACTACTTTCTGGAAGTGCGGACTTGTGATATGATTTTGAGTATCTCAGTTATTTAGATGCTGTTAATATCAGCGTTTAGTTAAGCTCTGAGATATTTCTATTTTTGTCAAAATACAAATGAAATACTTGTAACTCACGAATTCCTGAGCAGGTGAAGTTTATAAAATATGAACAACTTTCAAACCCGAATATTTTAACTAAACAGAAATGCGGACCCGATGGATGCACTAACAATTATGTCAGTTGGTAAAATAGAACGTACACTTGATTGCATTAAGTTTATGTCGCCCAATGTAAACAATCACACTCAAAGTTGCCTCTAAGACTCAGAACTTACAACTTATTTACTTTGGTTACCAAACAGGTGGGAAATCCAATTGTGTGGGCTTAGTTTCAGACAGTAGGATACATTTTACTTTTAAACTAATTGAAACATAAGGGTCGTCATTGAGGTAGATTAAACTACTATGATGGTCACGTGAAAGTGAAATTATGTTAACAACATAGGATAAAAGATGTCTCTAGGTTTACCTTAAGAAACCAGTTACATTAGAGATGGGTTTTTTTTATATATGAACAGTCCATTTTACTCTCATTTGATGACTCCTGCCATACACAGGGTACGTTGATCTCACTGGTCTTGGCTACAACTAAATAAACATCTTAGATTTTACAACCACCCATTTCGACAGTATTATCCACTTACTTTATTTTGTAGTTAGTCTTAATAGAACTACTAAGATGAATACAGTATTTCACTTTGTTTAGAATGTACAACCTGCTGAAAATGGTTATCTTTCATAGTGACATTCCTTTATCTTATGACTTGACCAGTAAAAACAACACTTACTTTGACGTGTTGTGTTCGATTTAGCAGTCTTCGATAAAGTGACCGAGCACGTTCCCAATCATACTGTTCAATCTCGAAGTCAATATATGCTTTCCATAATAATTCCGGCATATCCAGCAATTTCCTGTTGATCGCTAATTCATAAATACCTCGTGCACGATCTGTTTCTCCCAGAAGACTTTCCAATTCAGCATACTTGTTAATCGTTGATATATAAAAGTAAAAGGATAAAAATCATTATTAGCTCTCGTTTGATTGCGTAGAGCCAACTAGATATAAACAATCAACGGATAAAGTCTTTGAATATCATTGGCAAATTGATAATCCACACTGAATATTTTTATCTATCAGACAGATTATCTTACAGAAATGATGGAAAAAATGAACTTCAGGTCTTGTCTTTCTGAATACAATTTTCTTCCTTGGAAATGTAAAATAATAGTCATGGTATTCAGATTCTACAAATCCTTATGCCTACAATTTTCGTCTTTTAGCTATAAGACCATAATTCTGGATTATCCAACTACTAGTTCTTATGAATGATGATGCTGTACAGAGTATACGCCGTTAAGTGGAGTCGATATTTCGCAGTACAGTAAGATAAAACTAGAATCCCCAGACATAGTATAACTTAGGCCTGCACAAGTCAAAAACCAAAATATTATATAGTGTGGTTTGCATACAGTGAAGTTTATTTGACCTGCTTTAAAATACTGCATATCAGTATAAGGTATTACAGTAAGCAATTATTGTTGCAAACGGAAACCAAAACTTCCAGCATACAAACACACCAATCAGTTATCCTTAATAGAATCCACGTCAATCATTCTGATTGTTTTTTCACCTCGAAATATTCTATAATGCATAACAAGTATCACTAACGTAGAAGCATTTACATTCAATAAAAGGTCAAAGACATGTTTAATACTTACCTCTTTTTGAAAAAACATCATTTTTCTACTTTAAAATAAATCACTAGGGATTTCACACATTATACATGATATATCAATTAGGAAAAATTCAAATATGTGGTACAGAATAGAGCAGCATAAAAGTGGAATGACATACCCTCATCCATGTAGTACAGTTTTCCGGAGAAAATTCCAGGAATTTTTCATACAATTTACGACATCTATCAAATTCTCTCAACTGGATCTCCAATTCAATGTAACCGCGGAAAAGCTTATCTTTCGGACACATACCCAAAGCGGTACCCTACAAAAAATTAGGCGAGAAAATTTTCATTTGAATGTATTCATATTCATGTTACAATTATCAATAGAAAAAAATTTAGATGACATTTATTTATGCACAGTGTTATGCGAATCTACAACTGTCTTACAGAATCACATATAAACATTACGTCACCGATTTTTCATAAAGTCTACACGTTGATTAAACGCAATTCGGTCAGAATTAAAGTATCAATTTGATTACCACACAGTATAAGCCATTCTCTCAGATGGACATCAGTTTTAGCATCTCTAACTATGGTGCGTGAAATGTTTTTGAGTTTAAGAGCATGAGTGATCGTAAAAACGGCAACAGTTCAAGGAGCTTATGGTTTCAAACTTTTCACAAACATTATATCGATTGTGTTGCTAAATAAACGTCTTAATGATGAGATAGGATTCTATTGGTTAATGCACTTTCATATAATGAAAGTAGTATGACCCAAAATAACGTTTGCTCTCAGTTAACGAAGTTGTGTCAAATTTTACTCTGTGTGTTACATTTAAATGTTTTAAACACAGGAATTTATAGGTTTTGTTAAAAAATAAAGTGTAACCAGATGCAAAACAAAAAATGACAACAACGCTACAATATTCATAATTTATTAGATAAGGCGGTAAATACTTTAGTGATGTTAACATGAAATCTACTTTACACAACATACACCATTATTTACATAAACTAAATCCACCCTTAGTGGTATAAACCCTTTTAAAAAGGCTTTTTAAGGACAATCTGGTATAAAAGTGATTATTTGTCTTACTAGATAAATAGGTTAATTCATTACAAATAGAGAAATAATCAACATTCTAATTCACTTAATTCATCTCCCATAATTTTAGCTGTAATAAGTCCTAGTACCAGCGCTTTGTTGCTAAGTAAAAAACCTCATCAATAAGCAGTGGGTACCGTACCAGTCCCTAATACCTTCCGTTTTTCCAAACTCTATCCAAAACCAACTGAATTCACAATAATAGAATTACTTGCACGACCTAAGCTGTCGAACAGGAAGAATAAGATGTATGTACTAACAAACGGCCGTTCAGTGCTTTAAGATTTTCAAAGGTGGTCTAGCTTCAATTGACTCATAATCTCAACTATTAGAAATATACACGTATATATTACCTTCAGTAAAAATACAATGCTACGGAATTCCTAAAAGATGAGGCCACATGCTGTATGGTACTTGATCATTGGTAGAGATGTCAAGTTTCAGAGAATTATCAGAAGTTAGCCTATGTATAGCAACAAGAAAACAAACAAGC